CCCTTAGAGCTCCCAAGAAAACGCAAGGATTGTCATTCACCAAAGCAAAATATCTCATTAAAGAGATGCAAGAATTGATCCATTTTCTCCATTTCTCCCAAAAAACCATTAGCAGCATAACAACATCCAGGAAACTCAAGTTCACATCATAGGCCTTTTCATGATCTGGCTTGCAAATACACCTAGCACTCCTTGCTTTTTCCTTGAATCCACCACTTCATTCACCACAAAGATTGCATCCAAAATTCGTCCACTCTCCACAAAAGCATTCTGGGAAATAGATATAGTCTCGTACATCACCTTCTTAAGTCTAACGGAAAGCACCTTAGAGATGATCTTATAAAAGTTTGCAAGTTAATAGGTCTATAATCCTTCATGCTTGAGGCTCCCTCCCATTTAGGGATGATAACAATAAACGATTCAAACTTTTTTCAATATCACCTTTATTTTGACCGTAATCCAACAATGTTGAAAAAAGCCAACGACAAACTATCAGGCCCGGAGATTTGTCACCCACGCAACACTCGAACCCCTTTTTCACTTCTCGATTTCCATCTCAAGCCACACACACTCCTCCTCACTGATGTGATCGAAGTCTAAATCCCCAAATTAGGCCTCCAAGTCTCTTCGTCTTTGAACAAAACCTTCGTAAAATTCTACTACCCCTTCTACTTCATCCTTCCCCAAATGCACAACCTCATTTACCTCCACCAACTCTATGAAATTCTCTCTTATTTGATACTGCTACCCTATGAAAAAATTTAGCTTTTGAATTCCCTTCCTCCAACCACAATGCCCTCGGCATTTGCCTCCAGCTAACCTCTTAGGCAAAGCCAACACAGCTAGGTTCCTTTTCAACCACTCTTTCTCACTCCCCTCTAACTCGCTCCCTATTTCATCTTCTCTAACTCCCCTATTTTATTCATAACCCCCCTCATTTTCACTTTTACCCTCCCATATACCTCTTAATTCCACACACTTGTGTCTTTTTTAACCAATTTCAATTTCTTGGCAAGCCTATAAGAAGGCCACCCCTCCAATGCATAACTCGTCCACCAACCAGCCACTCTATCCCCAAAACCCGACACACTTACCACATGTTTTCAGAGCTGAAAGGAGATCTCATATGTCTAACTCTGCTTCCATCCAACATGACGGTGCAAGTGAATGAGGCACTTGATAAAGGCCAAAATTCTACTTCATCCTAGATAGTAGGTTACAAAATGGACATGTAGCACAATGCACAATGAGATGAGAGAGAAGCCCAGAGAAAACCTATCAATGAAGGATTGCTAAAAAGCTGAAAGTTAAGGACCAAGAAAACAGCCCAACAAGCTCAAGAATTCAAATGGAAAGCAAATCGACTACAGAAGGAAATATAAAGATTCTCAAAGACAATTAGGTAAAACTATACCGAAGATGTCAGCATGTCACGGTAAAGAACATGAACATTTCTGATGGACAACTGAATGCTGTCAAGGATCTGAAGAAGGAAATGAGGAACAAAGTATTAGAGAAGAATGAAAATATGTGTATATATACAACTAAGTAGCACAACCAAGCCAAAGAAATTTGTAAGGAAAAAAAGATCCCAGCAGGTTCAGTCAGTGCTTTTGACAAATAAATAATACAACCTTTGCAGTAATGTATGAAGTGAATGAGTTTCCAGCCTGACTATCTGCAAAACCCAAAAGATTTTTTAAGAAGTATACAAAAGAACATCGAAAATTAAACATACAAACATCAACGTATTGATCTCTACTAAGAACCCATTTTGCATCGCTCAAAATTCACAATTTGTCATACAAAATTTTAGTAACTGTAATACCCATATTAAGAAAAAAAAATATGTGAGTTATTAATGGACAAATTATTTCTTTTTGTTTTAATTAAATCAACTGCTGCAAATAAAGAAAATAGAAAGTTAATGGGCCATAGCTCATAACTCACGTGATAAAAAAAAGCTTTTGAAAAAAAAAAAGGAAAAAGACTGGGTATAACCTCTCTGTTTAAAGGAAAGCTGGGAAGAGAAAAAAACCCATCGCACGAGGCTTATAATTAAAAAGAGAAGGAGGAAAAAAGGTAAGTTTCTGATCTTGAATTATATATTTTATTGTATATTCCATGACTACAGATTGGGTTTCAGAATTGGAGAATCATGAGTTAAAGAAACAGTGAAACTTGCTCAGGAACTAATGGAGTGCATTTAATTATTAGACTATAAGTTTTTGTATAGTGGCATATATGAAGTAATAGTAGACGGGCAGTAAGGTTTTGTTGGCTAATTACGATGAAAAATTAATCAAGCTGAGGCTGTTTTGTGTGGTTAAAGCACCAATTAGGTGACTGGACAGATTTCGAGTCCTTCATGGAACCTCTAGGGCTGGGTATCTTAATGTAGTATGAAATAGCATGTATTAAGAGGTTAACACGAAGTTATGAATGTGATTATAGATTGACCAATGGAATTCATACGGATTACTAGAGTAACGAGCTTGGT